GAGGGCGGGAGCAAGAAAGAGCAAAAGAAAGAAAAAATGAAAGAAAGAGAAAAAAGAGGTTATATATGTATTCTTCAAGACATTTTATCTCAGTTTCTGATACCTGCTGTGTTGTTCCAGGCTTGCCTCACCTGACATGTGAAATTCCTTGTCTTTCAGATGGAGTACCATTTACCTGGTGGATTGGGCGGTCCAAGGAAAGGCATTCTTACTGGGGAAGTGTTCCTCCTGGAGTTCAGCAATGTGAATGTGGCCTGGATGAGATTTGCCTGGACATTCAGCACTTTTGCAATTGTGACGCCGACAAGGATGAATGGTAATGGGAATCATGATCTTTCTGCAGTTGTGAAGGAAGCACATTAATTGATGTATAACATTTCTTCCAAAAGAAAAAGACATGAATCAGAAAGGCAATGTAAACTTGGACTCCCTAATAAATGTGATAGTTTTTAACTTGGAAAATCATCAGTGCTAGTGCTTTTAGGACTATTACTGAGGTTTGTAACATAAAGCATTTTGTCCCATCATCACTTCCTTATATTCTAAACATTCTATTCTAAACAAAAAAACAAAATGTAATATTTAGCTTTGTGATTTAATCTGTGTTCCTATAGTGTATGGAAGGTAGATTTGGGGAGAGAGTGTGGGAAATGGGGATGTGTAATTATACAGGCTGTTTCTTCATTCTCTCATTTTCCCACTGATATTTCAGTTACTAGTCTACCTTATTACTGCCAAAATATATATATATAGCAAAGAAAATTTATTAATCATCTATTTAATCCAGCAACAACCTATTAAATCTTTATAATTTTCTCATTTTTATATCTTAAAGTTGAGGAATGTGGATTATAGAGAAATTAAATAATTTTCCAAAAGTCACACACACCTATTAAGGAACAGATCCAGAATTTGAACTCAGTTGTAGCTAAAACCAGAGTTTCTCTTTCTGTCTTACACCAAGTTACTTCTGTCAGACACAACTTAGTTTTCAGTTACCATGTCCATAACATCCCTTTCCCTTTGTTCTTGAGGTAAACTACTCATTTTCACTGTATTGATTAAGAAAAAAATGTACAGAATACTTCCACGCCTACTTTTGTTTTGACTGAATTTAAGGAATTTTTTGGTTTTGGCTTTCCAATTTTGCTTGCTTCATCAAATGCTGCTCAATATTACTAGGATTTCCTATGTTGGCCTGCTTTCAACCCAGTTGAAATTTATTTTAAGTACTTTTTTTCACTGGTAAACAGCATAGACTGTTTCAAATGAAGTTGTAGGTTGTCGAAACCTCAGTTTGGTAAGAAAAGGACCAAACATTTAGTTCCATGAGATTCAACTAAATAGCCCAACCCTTCAGAATGCTACAGGGCTGCTTGAGCCCCAAAGCAAATTACCTGGATGCCTTCGCTGAAACTAGAAATCTTCCCATGTGTCAATTCAAATAAAGTTGACTGTAGGTAGAACAGACTTCTCCATAGCATTGTGGATGCCTGCAAATTAAATATAACTCATTTTCCAAATGAAGAGTATGCCGCTTTTAACATTATGTCCTTCCATACCTACTCCTGTACAGTAGAAGATCAGATTTAGTTTGCTGAAAAGGTAAATGCATAAGATTTGGGCAGAATAATGACCAAAAATTGCATCTATAAGCTTAAGAGCTATATATGGAAGGGTTAGATGGTTGTATTTCCAGAAAAAAAAATGTCCAAAGTCCTCTGAAACCAGAAGCTTAAATTCTCCCTCTCTCTGTCTCTGTCTCTCTCTCTCTTTTGATTAATTCCCATTCACTATGCATGACACTAGAAATGTATAGATGTATAGATTTGATAGAAACACCTTCCTTTCATTGTATATAACCAAAAAAGTTGATATCAAAGGAAGAATATAAAGAGTTATTGAGAAGGAGAAGCATTCTCCTAATTACCTTCAATTCTCACTCCTTTTTTGACTGAATTCTTGATCTTTGCTTGCTGTTTAATTTTCTATGGTATAGCCCTTTCATACTGATATAGTCCTTTCAATACTGCCTCTGTGCCTTTCCTTCCTAGAGAACAACTGAGAAGAGCTGAGCTTAATTTACTGAACACTGCGAGTCAGTGAGAGAGAATAGCATCACATCACTTAAAAGGCCATCATGTTTAAGTGCCTCCACACTCTCTTCTCTAGGACTTTCTAACGATCATCTCTTCTACTCAGATTGTAGCCTCTTACTCCTTTGACTTGCACACTAGTTTACTAAACTTGGAACCCTTCATATGTTGACTTAACTTTATTGTGTATGCTATACTCAGGAAACTCTTCAAAACATCTTTGTCACACGTTTACTGAGTACCTACTCTGTGTCAGTAAGAACATTATAGTCCCTGACCTTGAGGAAATCACAGTGCAGTAGAGAAGTAAAAGCTAATTAGTTAGCAAAAAATGGGCAAATGTGATGAATTTTGTAATAAAGGGAAACACAGATGTGCCCAGACTAGGTGTGGATATAAGTTGGGGATAGTTAGATTTCAAGGAATACTGGTGGTTAAGTTTTGAAGAACCAGAAGTTACCTAAAGTTAGTTTAGTACAGGTAGGCAGAATCTCCATGTGTTCTAAGAGGGAATAATATAAAAATTACTACTTTCCTAGAACACAAACATATCAGTGTGGTTGATGCACAGTTTTCATATGGGGAATTTACAAGAGATGAACACAAGGAAGAAAGTTAAGCCAGATAATAAAGCTCTTTGTATGTGAAATAACAATGAGCTAGATTTGTCATGAAGATTGCAGACACAGACAAGACATTCAGACCTAAAACATGGCAGAGCCTTGTGGAAATGCATTCATTTTTTAATCTATTCAACTGTGTTATTTACTGCAGAAAGGAAAAGTACAAAAACTGATACAATTGTGAAACAGTTAATCATGTTAGTAAACATTCTTTCAACTTTATTCTTGGTTAACATGAGGTCAAGTTGGCTTTCTGCATATTTCAACTTTTTGTTTTTTACAATCATTCCACTTTAAGTATCACTGGACTCTTGATGCTCCTAAGAAACTTCAAATATATTTACTTTGTAAAGTTTCCTCTAGTTTCTGCTCTTGGTAAAGTTAATCAGAAAAACTGATTTGGGCTGCTATGACATCTAGTAGATAGTAATTTAATATATTACAATTCTTAGATAATATTGTCATTTAAAAATTTTACCTATCATACACTGAAGTGTTCTTATTATTTAATCTAGTATATATCACATCTCATATAATCATCCCAACAACTTTGAGGTTGATATATTATCTCCTTTCCCCAGAAAAGGAAACTGAAGTGCCGAGATGATAAATGACTTGGTTAAGGTCACATGACTAAAAAAGCAGAGTTGGATTCCACCTGTATCCAAGTGTATGCTTTCTGACTACATCAAAGGAGCTACTAAGTTAGGATTTTGAGTCATGGCAGCCAGTGATACCAGAGACCTCTCCCAGAGCCTCTCCAGTCTCATAATGGCAGTGCGTATCTTTCTTTTTGCTATGTCAGTCTCTTCAGGGAGTCTAACTTTTAGTAATTAATAATACTTTATTCTATTTCAATAAACCTCTGTAATTGAATAACTTACTTTCATATAGTTCAATGAAACCCGAGGAAATGAGGAAAATGACTGTGTTGTGAGTATGGGAGAAAGTGAGGTAGCTCATAAGATGCATATGGGTAGAGGGAGGAAAAAGAAGTCACTTAGTAAATACCACAAATATACTTCTTTCTTAAAGTAAAGGGAATCCACCGCTAGACATCTAAATCAGGTTACTACGAAGTCACTTCTCCAGAGATTTATATTTCAGCCAAAGAATTATGCAGAAAGAAACAAAAAGAAATAAGAAAACTTTTAATGAATAACAGTTATATAGTCAATGATTGTTCGCAAATGAACTTCTCTTCAATTTAGTGATTCAACCTATAGAAATCTTCCCTATCAGGTGTTTTCTGACCAACCACTTCAGAAGGAAGGGCTGCTGAGAGTAGGAAAGACAATGGGATAGATTCGGCATCGAGAGAGCACAGGAGAGTGTTGGGCTGCATGACAAATGGAAAAACAGTCACCCATATAGAGGGATACTAAAAGAGATGCAAAGGATAGTTGTACAGGAATACAAAGGATGGATGGGGTGGCAAGTTGTTGGAGGCAGATAGATGATCCAAAATGTGCCTCTTGGTGATGGCACATGGGCCACATGGGGGGTTTTCTCATCCAAACATCCAGGTAGTGTTAAAGTGAACTCTCTTGCTTAACAGCCAAAACTTCTTCTATTTATAAGAAAATACAGACATACTTATTTGATTTTAGTAACTCAGTTTTTTGCCTTTTGCCCTTTCTGCACCCTTGTACAAAGTGATATGCCACAAAATAGGAAAAGAAATGCTATAAGGTTTAAGTTATAATATAAGGATTAAACATTTTGCTGCAGATGAGTTTTCTCCTGGCTATCAAAGACTAGTTAGAAGTGATCACTCTTCTTCAAAAGTTATCTTTCTATACATTTGCCTTTAGCTTTTGTCATTAGTAAATGCATGTCCAATCCAATGCTAGGACCTTAACCTCTGCAAAGGCTCTTCATTTCTTTTCCATGAGATTTAATGATACAATTGCCTTTAGGAGGATGATGCTGGATATATACAGGGGGTATAGGTCTTTGCTGTTTTCTCACGTAGCTGTTCATTGATCTCTCAGACCTCCTTTGATTTCCTCAAGAACTTCACACCTTAGATTTCTAGACTTGATACAGTGAAGGTGCCTCGTACTTGGTAATATCCTAGATGGGGCAGAAATCCTGAATCCTGAGAGAAAGGAAAGGATCACCTCAGTACACACTAATGCTTTTACCTCATTAAAAATAATATCATACAATTTCTGCTTGTTAAATTTTATTATGCTTACATCTGTTTATGAGCTATTCCACTGCTTACCGAATTTTGAAAGTGCCTTTGTCCCAAGTAGGCAGAAATTATGAAGGATTTATTTGGGTTTCCACTCATTCAGTCCTTGAATTTTCACATGCATCTAGCATTATAAGCAGGGCCCGAACCTTTTGTTGGAGAGCAATATGCTTGGTATGTAGTGTGCGTTAACTGTTGAGTGAATTATAAAAAATAATAATTAATGGAGTTATTTCCTTTCTTTCCATCCTCTTTTCCTGGACAAATGTGTTCTCCATTTGGTAGTTATACTCTGCTGTTTTATTCCTTATATTTTCACTTTTTAAAGTACATATCCTGAAGCAACTTGATACTGGCTTGTTTACACTAATGATCCCAGGACTGGATTTCAGATTGT